CTTATTTCAAATGTAAATTGTGTTGTTCCTTTGGCAAAGTGTTTCATTTACCTCCTCAATTCAAGAAATAATGCATTTATTTTAAGAAAAAATGTCTTATCTAGATTTACATTTTTTTCAGTGTAGTTTCCAATGATGCCGGCAAAGAGGGAGTGAAAAAAAATTAATACATGCTGTTGCATTACTCCCGCAGTCACACGTCAGGTGGAATTTGAAATCCAATTGTATTTATTTACACAGCTATAAAACAGAAAGTATTTGTGAAAAAATAATTTGAAACATGTTTTAGAAATTTTAAAGCCCCATTTTAAAGGTGTGTGGATGAAACACCATGTGACTGTGGTTTGGCCAGTTCTATAATAATAGATAAACATGAGCAGGTATCAGTTGGGAACTGTACCAGGCCCGCCAGGCTTAAGGGGTTGAGTAAAGCTGTGAGTAGGCTCTGTAGAGTGGAAGTGTTCCAGACCACTAGGAGGAGCAATTTTCTCTATGTGTGTTTTGTGTGTTAGCATCATTTATGTATTTGCAGTCTGTTTGCACTGTACTGCTACCTATTTTCTGTGATTCTGTGATTTCTCATCAGCAGCATTTTGTTTTATTTGCATTTGTTTGTATTTCATTTTGGGACCATTTTGCATAAATTATAACACACCACAGGGATCATCTACAACCAAATGCTGGTTCCCATGAGTACAGTTCCAATTTAAGGGTTAGGTTTCGACTGAGGTGTGAATTGAGTTTAGGTTGGGGATTGGGTTAGAATTGGGTAAGAAATGGGGTAGAAATGAATGGATGTCAAAGCAAAGTCCTAACAACAATGGAGAAACACGATTGAGTGCACGTGTTTGTGTGCTCATCTCATTGTTGTGTTTACAGTACTTTTGTATGCTGTGCAAATGCACCCTCCAGCCACTGTACTCCGAAGTTTAAACTCTTAAAGGAAGGTTTAGGCTAAGATAGCAGCTAGCAGCTCTATTAGGATTTCTCGGGACATGAACCCTCATGTGTTTGGATCCTAATCAATATCGATGCAAACCTACTAACCTGGAGCCACTGAACAGTCTCAATTATTTATCTTATAATTTCGCTCTGAACGAGAAAACATGTGTATTTCTAGACCCCTTTTGAAAAAAAGAGATAATCTTTAGCCTTTTTTTTATACTTTGGGATGGGTTTGATGTCACTGATTTAGAAACACTTCAGCTAAGGTTTCCTGATGTGATCTGGTCTGTAAAGAATGGTTTATGCTTGACACATGGTAATTAGACGTGTGGATACTGGCCATCAGTTGCAGATTTTTTACTTTGTGCAGCTTTTCCCATCTGTACCTAATATTCTGGACTACTCCAGGGACCAGTATGGGGCACAAACTGCAAGCTTTCAGCTTGCATCAGAAAATGCCTACCTGTGTAGCATTCGGCTACAAAAACATGCAGTTTTTTGGCTGTGGGAGAAAATGTTTCTCAGGTAATTTCACAAGAAAATCCATATATACGTATACATATGTATCCTGTAATATAGTATGTAGCGTAACATTAGTCTGGCTATCTCGGACTGACTCAAAGTTATTTACTGAGTTAGCCACCAACATTGTGTCTAACGTTAGAAAATTGAAAGTAGAGTAAATAGAAAGGAATTCACTGTGAAATGTCAATATAGTAATTTTTGATTAACTGGATAATGCTGTCGTTTTTGTAGTGTTTGGTATATTTGACATTTGAAAAATCATGTGCTGAAATATTTTGTATTTTATATTGACGTATATATATATATATATATATATATATATATATATATATATATATATATATATGTCAATATAA